CCATACCAACCCACCCATATAATAGGTGTCCCCCCCCCACCCCCGCCATCACACTGTTGTGAAAACCCGCCAACTCACCTGTCCTCTCTGTCCCGATTTGCGAAATGACCTATAAGTCCTCTAAGTACAGGACCATGAGTGTGTGCGTGTAGAGGGGCGCGTGCATGGGAGAGTGTGTGGAGTGGTGGGGGCATGGGAGGGTGTGTGTGGAGGGGTAGGGGCATGGGAGGGTATGTGTGTGGAGGGCTGGGGGCATGAGAGGGTGTGTGTGTGGAGGATGGGGTAGTGTGGGGAGGGAGGAGTGGAGCATTGGAGTCAGAAAAATTCCAGGAGGGTTGGGGTGTGGCTTCAGAAACTACTACTTTGTGTCCTCGTAGGTGGGAGTTAACATTGACTAGGCTCTACCTGCCCATAGAAAGAGGCTGATTGTTCTGAAGTGTATGAATTTAGGTGTTTAGAGAGGAGGGTAGAGCGGCCCTGTTTATTTCGTCTGGCATGTTATGAACTGCTTCTCTCCTCTTCATCCCTTGTCCTTGTTCAGGTGTTCATTCTATTTTCTATTCTAGGAGTCTTGTTGATACCGTCTATGCATTGAAGGATGAAGTCCAAGAATTAAGACAGGTGAGTCATAATCAGTTTTTAATCTTTTTTTTTAAATGGGGGGAAAAGAGGAAAACACTATATTGAAAATGAAGTCGATGTCCTTAAGCAAAATAATACAGAAAGGAGCCCTCTGGAGTGGCTCAGTTGGTTGTGTCCCATACACCAAAAGGTTGTGTGTTCGATCTCCAGTTGGGGTACATACAGGAGGCAACCGATCAATGTTTCTCTCTCATGTCAATGTCTGTCTCTCTCTCTCCATTCCTCTCTGTAAGCATGTCCTCTCATTTAAAATATCTAAAACTCCATCTAGTTAAAAGTTTTATTAACTACCTACTGTGACTATTCTCTGCCACTTTGTAGTGTAACACATGGTCTTTGTTCCAAGGAAACCAAAACAACAAGTCAGTTAGACAAAGTATATAAGTATGTATATGGTTTTGGGGGGACATAGGATATTCCCAAAAATGTATACAAACTTTAATAGCTGATAACTCAATTTTCACTCCTTTTCAAATTTAACTAATTTGAAATAATAGGTCAGCGGTTCTCAACCTATTGGTCGCGACCCCTTTGGGGGTTGAACGACCCTTTCACAGGGGTCGCCTAAGACCATAGGAAAACACATATATAATTACATATTGTTTTTGTGATTAATCAACTATGCTTTATATTCAATTTGTAACAATGAAAATATATCCTGCATATCAGATATTTACATTACGATTCATAACAGTAGCAAAATTACAGTTAGGAAGTAGCAACGAAAATAATTTTATGGTTGGGGGTCACCACAACATGAGGAACTGTATTAAAGGGTCGCGGCATTAGGAAGGTTGAGAACCACTGTAAGCCAGAGTAAGCTTTGAACAAAGAAAATTTATCCAGTAGACTTTTTTACAGGGATACATAAAAGATAAAGTTTACAGTACAAACCCAGCAACAGTTGGCGAATTGAGGGTGCACAAATACGGAACGAAATGATTCTTGATGTTTGCGAGTCTATTGCTTCACGTTATCAGCAGTGCCTGCACCAGAACGGCATTGACAAACAAAAAAAGTTATTCATTTCTGTAGCTTTTTTAAAATATTGAAAATGAACTCTCTTAATAAACACTGACTTTGTAATCATTCAAAGTGTGTATACTTTTTTGGGGTCACCCTATGTATTATTTGTACAAATGGCTTTGGTCTCAGGAGGGAGCGGTAAGTGCTGCTTCACAGGCCGGAGGCTCAGGAGAAGCGGAGCTCAGCATGGTCTGGGGTGGACGGGACACTGCTCTGAGCTGCCTCTCAGCCATCCCTGCAGCTTCCCTGCAGCTTCCAAATACTTGTCTTCCTCTGAGGGGCTTCCGGGTTTGTGCTGCCCCCTTGGCAAGGGATGCATCTTTGTGTGTGCGCCTTCTCCATGCGGAGGAATGATTAGGTGCAAACTGTACGGGAGAAGGTGCTTAGTCACTCACTCTGTATTCATTCAGCTGCTGTTACTTCCATCCGGACATAACTGTAAGATCTTTACAGGTGTGAAAGGTGCAGGGGGGTGGGGGTGTGCAAGATGTTCCTTTTGCTATTTCCAGCCATGTTCTTAAGGTATGTCGTACAGCGATTCTCCCCTTCAGTAATCGGAACTTAAATTGTCAGTGACATTAGGACTGTTTTTCCATCTGTGATTGGTCTTGGTCCCAAGAGCAACTGTGCGATAAGGAGCCGCGAGTGTCTGTGGAGGCATGTGGGCAGTCTTGTCGAATACACCCACGCCCACAGCACAGGGCACATTGCAGCACAGAGTTTCAATTGGCAAGACCCCAGCCCTCCTGGGGGAAGGAAGTCCTCTCCAGGGCCCAGCACACTGAATGTCCTGTCTGCTTTGTTGACAGGATAACAAGAAGATGAAGAAATCTCTGGAGGAAGAACAGCGAGCCCGCAAAGACTTGGAAAAGCTGGTGAGGAAAGTTCTAAAGAACATGAACGACCCTTCCTGGGACGAGACCAACCTCTAAGGAACGTCCATGGTTCTTTCTTGAAGACCAGTTAGGAGACTAAGCTGGGACCCTGGGGCAGGGCTGTGCATACAAAAGCTGGAGTCCAGGCAAATAGAAACACATTGTTCCTGAAGAGTCCAGACATGAGGTATCGATACCGAGGGCAACTGCATTAATCTTACTCTGCTAACATCTCAATTACCTCATTTTGCAATAAGTGCAGTGACTGACTACAAATCCTGGTCTTTCAGGCTTTTATTGAATCTATATAAATATTATATATACATGTTCCTTGTAAATATCCTGTTTTGAATGCATATCCCTGATTGTTATATCTGATACCCCTGCTAGAACTTCCTTCCCACTAATCTTTCTGATCCCATGACCTAGAAGTTGTGTTCACGCACACACGCATGGAAAGCAGAGACGCGTGGCTGTGGTAGATGCCTGACTTCTCCACCGCTGTGGTTTCTACAGTGCTCTGAAAATACTTCCCACGTTGGTTGCCTACCTAATTTAACCTTATTTATAGCTGCAGAGACACTTGAATGCCATTTGAAAGTCTTCTGTTAAAGCAGTATTGCAGTCACCGATGCGGGTGTCGCTGAGTGAGGGTCTGGGCCTGAGCCATCAATCCCAGGAAGTCCCACTCACGCCACCACGTCCAGCTGCAGGTGCACCCTCTCGTCTGCTTTGAGTGGATCTGTGGTCACCAGAGTATCCACTGCACTTGGAGAGGTCATACAGACTTGTATATGTAGGCTAGTTTAATAACGTGACCAAGTGCACTGCTTTGTCCTCAAAAGAGAGCGCTTCACTAGAATCTGCAAATAGAATGTGTTGTTACACATCACTGCGGCCGGGAAGACGAAGCGAGGTGGTGCTATGGGTAGGATTCCTGTGTCAGCCAGCGTCAACCCTGAGCTCTGCTTTACCGTCAGGGCAGCAAGCATTACTGCAGAGCTCACTGGGAAAGAAGAATAAGCAATATCCACCTTAAATCCCACCTAAATAATGAAAGTTTAAATGTGGGTCCATTCCCTCCCTGTATCCAAACTGCAGAGCAGACGAAGGAGGAAGTGGGCCCCAACCTGGCTCCGCAGCCCCTGGGCCAGGGCTCTAGAAGCCTCGCAGCCCGGCAGGAACAGCCTTGGAGCCCAGCTTATCCTGCCGTGGAGATGGGATCGGCGATATCACAGGGTCTGCGCTTTCCGTTTCCCTCTTCTAAGAGGTGGTTTTAGTGAGATGACTTCTTCATAGAACAAGTGTTACGTTGTTAAGCAGAATTGCAGCACTGTGCATTAGAGACCGCTCAGAAATACCTTTTTGGCCTCAGATGTGACCTTTGATTTGCAACCTATTTATTGGTCAGTGACCCTTTAATCTTTGATGCCTATGGACTGGGCATCTTTGGAACTAGTTGGTTTTCTGGTTGTCCATGGTTCTGTTTCCATGCCCTTGCTGATTAGTCCCTGTGCCCGCCCATCTCCCTGGGGGGTGGTCCTGGAGCTGGCCCTCCCGCTGCAAGCTCAGCAGGTGTGTGGGGCCCAGCATTGACCTGCCCACACTTGACCTTTCAACTAGAATTGCCAACTTTCTCTACTTAGCATTCATGAGTGCTAGGACTAGAACATAGTGTCATTTTTTTTACAGTAGTATTTTTTGGTGATGCATAAGACATTGTGGTGAAAAACAATTACATTTGAGTGTACTGAAGTTTGCTGTCTTAAGCAAATTTTAACTCAGGAACAACATTCAGCACCTGATCCCTCCACCACTTAGTGATGAGCGAAGTTGCAGCCAGCATCCCCGACGGGTCTCTTACAGCACCTGCCTTAACTGTTGCTAAAGCGACAAGTGAGAACTTGTGTTTCCCTGTCCCTCCCCTTGCCCTGGCGGGGTGATGGTTGAGGTGCCCGTGTAATGCATTACCTTTCTTCCCCAGGATCCAATATTTTACTAAACTTTTTAGGGAGCAGAGAAAATGCATCTGAGCAATTCTACAGACCTGCCCTCTTATAAACAGACTGCACGCGTCTCTCCGGGTGACTCCTGAGGGGTTGGGAGTGGATGATGATGGTAGAAAGGGGCGCTGTTGACTCTAAGGGTTACTTCTCTGCTCTCACCTTTCTTGGATGAGGAGACGAAGCCATTCCTATCCTGAGATGTGAAGCACTTTTATTTCCACACGACACTGACGTGTGGCCTCGGAAGCTCTGCCCACTGTGCTCTGCAGAGTGTGCCTGTCCGCGTGCGCCAGGGTCCGGGCCTCGGAAACCTCCGGCTCTGGCGGACTTCCTGCTGTCCTCCACTTCTTTCTCCAGGACGCAGAGGCCGCGTTTACAGCCCTGGGGACACCGCGCAAATGCCACCGACTGTCCTGGCGCTGACTACTCATACTATGTTGTTGTAATTATTAAACTGATTATTTTTTCTTATGTTACAAATATGTCACTTTATTTTCCATGATGTGTTTGTGTGTGTAAAGTTACATTTACACTTTATTTTGACTTTTATATTTTTTAATTCTGGGGTGAGTTTTGGACACTGGAAAATACCAGTTTGCCTTTAAAATCGAGGGTTTGGGAGTATTTGAAGATACAAAATTAGGCAATGGAACTGACACTGTTAGGTACGGCCTCCACTTTGTCTGCCACAGTGGAATAATGACTCATCCTGGGAGATGCTCTAAACCATGTTGGGGGGTTGAACAAGTGACATCATTTTTCAAGATTTCTGTGAGGCCCTTGCAAGAAGGGCCTGATAGCAGAAAGTTACTTGTCCGTTACAAGCCTTGCCCTTTCCCGCCACTCTCCACGCAGGGCCTCCCTGGCCAGCTAAGAGGGCTAGGAAACAGAGTCAGGGAAGAAAACAGCACTGCCAAGCTGGGAGTGTAGGAAGTCTTCCCTTCCACCCTGAGTGTGACCTCATCCTGACCTGATTGTGTCTGCAAAGACCCTATTTCCACATAAGGTCATGAGCACAGGTACTGGGATCAGGACTTCAACAGATCTTTTTTGTGGGGGACACACACGATTCAGCTTGTAACAGTAGGGAAAGTGGACTCACCTCTCAAGTGGGCCTGATCCCGACCTAACCCACCTTCCAAGAAGTGAGGCCGACGGTTGCTCCAGGTGGTCATTTAAACCCCATTGTGCTGTAACTAATAAAGGTGGTAAGGGACCCCAAGGGTACTTCTATTTCAGAAAACCCACAGCAACACCTACCATTTTTCCAAGGGAGGACGGCACAGCCCCACAACAGCAAATGTCCCTGCCTTTAGCTGAAATGAAGTGGGTAAATGCAGTCGCTGGTTATCATGGGAACAGGACTCCAGGCTAATACAGGGAGAGACAGGCCCCCGCCACACTGGCTCCCCCTCCTGTGGACTGTAAGCCCCGTCCTCGGGGGCCTGGCCGCTGGTCAGAGTGGACAGCGGCTTCAGGCAGTACTGGCCGTCACCCTGCCAGGCCTGGGGCGAGGTGTCTCCCCAAACAGTGGCGCTCTGCAGGTCTTGGCCCCCAGTTGGGGGTGAAGTGACATCTCCTGGTCCTGTGGCCCCTGTGGATCCTGCTGGTGGAGGGGAAGGCACCCTTTCCTTTTCTCTCAGGCCCCTGCAGCGGCCTCCCCCCCCCCACCCCCCCACCCCAGGCTGCCTGCCCTCATGCCCGGGCAACTCAGGGCCGCTCTTGCCTCTTTCTGGAAGCCTGTTGTGAGCATCGGCCTCCCACCCAAGGGCTTTCTCAGCTCCCGTGCCGAGCCCAGCCTTAAATGACCACACTTGACGCACTGTCTCCATGAACTCCCGAGGTTTGCCGAGGCATGAACCTGAACGTGAGCCGGGGTTTGTGTTGGCTGGAGGTTCAAATTCCCAGGAGGGGAACCCCACTGCCTCCGTTTGGGAACCTGAGAGGATGCAGCCCCTGGGATGGTTGGACAGTAAGAGAGGCTGGGTAATTTCTCCCCCTCCCTCTGCAGCCGCTCCCACGATCCTTCCTCTCCTGTCCTCACGTCTCCTTCCCGCTTCAGTCCTGCCAGTACAACCACCCTGTCCTGCAGAACCTCTGCTCCTCGCCCCAGCGGCCTGGCCAATGCGACAGTCAGCCAGCAGCCAGGCCTGCTCCCCGGGGGCTGCCACTTCTGACGACCCTCTCTGCCGCGATGCCTCACCCGCCCTTGGTGCAGGACCATGTGTTCTTCCCGAAGGTGAACGCTTTTTTCTCCCATCTCAACACCATGCCATCTGTGCCTCCCACCACCCGGACTCCCAGCTGCGTCTTCCAGTTTGCAGGCTCTGTCCCAGCCAGCCCAGGTGCCCCTCCAGCGCAGGCTCCCCTGGGTGCTCCCCGCATGCTGATGGCACTCCGATTCAGCTGCCCGCTGCGCATGCCCCCCCAGGACTGCAGCCCTAACTGGACACACAGACGCAGCCTCTGCTCGGCCGCTCCCCCTGGATTCTCATAGCCATCTTCCATGTGGCGGCCACCCTCCAGCCTCCCAGGCAGAACCCTGGGCTCATCACAGACCTGTTCCCGCTCAGAAATCTGTCAGCCAATCCCATGGACTCTAAAATGACACAAAAAACATTCAACCAGTGACTCCCGGTCCCACCCTTATTTTTCTCCCAGATTACATCGTTCCCCATGTTTACTCTTGCCTCCTTACTATTTTCAGCACAGCCTGAGAGATGTAATCCAGTTTCCCACCTGCGCAGAATCCAGCCCTAGCGCCCTGTTTCCCTTAGTGAAGGCTGAAGCTCAAATAGTAACCTACACCCTTGCCTGTGATTCAGTCTCAGTGCCGTCTCTGTCTTCATTCAAGCCGCCCTGGCCCCCGGTTCTCAGCTTCACCAGGCCTGCCTCACCCCAGGGCCTTTGCACCTGCTCCTTTCAGCCTTGCATGTGCTTCCTGGATGCCCACATGGTGCCTCCCCTTACTTCCTTCTAAACCTGCTCAGGTGCCGTCTAATTCAGAGGCCACTTGCTCACCATTGTGTGCTCTGCTTTCCTGTTCTCACAGCGCGTGTCTGCCCTGCATGTTTGTTGTCTCCTTCCATGGAATTCGCTCCCTGAGGGTGGGCACTTTTGTCTGTTTCGCCCACAGTTGCGTCCCAGCAGTGCCAGCAGAAGTGGGCTCTCTAAGAAGGAGACCATGGAGTGAGGACAGGAGTGGCAGGACTCAAACACTGGTTCCGAAGGGGGGCCTGGTGTCCCATAGGAACGGGCTGACTGTAGGGTCTGGAGGAGGGCCAGGTGTTTATTTTTGTTGTTTATTTTTAATATATTTTCATTGATTTCAGAGGGAAAGGGAGAGGGTGAGAGAGAAGCATCACTAATGAGAGGGAATCACTGATTGATCAACTGTATCCTGCACACACCCCCCCCCCCCCCCCGGGGGATCAAACCCACAACCCAGGCAGGTACCCTGACTGGGAATCAAACTGTGACCTCCTGGTTCATAGGTTGACATTCAACCATGGAGCCACATCACCAGGCAGAAGGCAGGGTTTTTGATGCCATGCCTGCCCTTAAGGCTCTCCCACCCTCCTCGGCCCTGTAAGCATCCTGCCTGCCCTATAGTGGCCAGCGTCACAGTCCTGCCCTTTGTGTGGTCACGGGGCTCTGTGACATCACAGCAGGTGGGGTGGCCCAGCCACTCACTCCACACTCTGCTCATCAGTGGCAGCAGGAGGGAGGAGGTGGCCAGCTTCCTGTTTGATTCTGAAGTCTGCTTGGAGTCTAACTGGGAGACGTGTGGCTGGGGGCTCAGCTGGGGACATGACGGACAGGTGAGACCGGACCCACGCAGCCTGGCTGCCTCAAGGTCTGGCCTGTGCTAATTTCTCTCTCTCCCAGGTTCCCTTGAGCCCTCACCCGTCCTTCAACTGCCACAATGAGATATATGCCAGAACTCAAAAAGTCCCACCCGCAATTCCTGAGGAGTTTTGCAGGTAAGGAGAAGAGAACCTTCAAGGGGCCTATTTCAACCCAAGGTGTAGACGACTAGCACCAGGCTGACAAGGGAAGGCAAAGAAACTTTTTTTTTTTAAAATATATTTTATTGATTTTTTACAGAGAGGAAGGGAGAGAGATAGTCAGAAACATCGATGAGAGAGAAACATCGATCAGCTGCCTCCTGCACATCTACTGAGGATGTGCCCGCAACCCAAGCACATGCCCTTGACCGGAATCGAACCTGGGACCCTTCAGTCCGCAGGCCGACACTCTATCCACTGAGCCAAACCAGCTTCGGCGAAACTTGTTTTTTTTAAAATAATGTAGGAAAATGCTGTGAAGTCTTCATTTTTAAAAAATTTCATTGCAAAAAACCCCAAACCTGAGGTTTTCAGCATAAGAAATATTTTTAACTATTTCACAAGGGGTTAGAGGATTAAAGATGTTTTCATATGACATGCAAACATAGACTTCAGCTACTTCATAACTTTTATGGCAAGAGTGGTTTTTTTTTTAAAGAAAAAAAAATATTTCTTAACAGTAAAGTTCACCTTTCCCTGTGCCCATCCTGGGTGCCCAGGGTGCAAAGTTGGATGCTGCCTGGGTGTTGAAGAAAACTTTGTGTAAATGTGGCTTTCTCCAGGGCACGTGGTTAGCGTGTAGATATAATGTGGTTGCAGTCGCTTAAAACCGCACAGAGGGAGTTTCTAGAAGTGAGACCCCTGGGGCTTGGGGAGGAGAGGGAAGTGTCACTCCCACCGTGCATGTGTGTGTGTCTTGAATATTTTTCTCAGCTAAGTTTTTCTTCATGCACGACTATAGTAATGAACAAAAAGATAGAAAAGCAAAAGGAAAGGCAATTTGGTTTTCCTCTTTAGTTTTTGTTTGTTGGCTTGGCAAAGGGACTGACCAGGGAGGTTCCGGGGCGGCCAGGGCTGGAGACGTGAGACCCTGCTATGCGGGGACTGTGAAGAAATACACTGAGACATCCCGGGAGATCCCAGCAAGCGAAACAGTGCTGGGGAGGGGCAGGGAGGCCCACGGGAGTCCCAGATGCGATGGGGAGACAGCTGCCACGAAGCTGGGGGCGGGGGACCAGCGGCTGTTCCAAAACAGTCCATCAAGGCAGCCAAATGGGAAATCGGTGCCAAGACTGTCTCACCTGCGTGGCAATATTAAAGAACAGCCAGCCCTGGAGGCTGAGGCTCAGTCGGCTGAGCAACGGGCTGAGCAACGTCCCAGGCCGAGGGGACAATGAATATTTTCTCACCCATGTGTCTGCTGCAGTAAACACCCACTGTCACCTGGAGCAGGTCTGGGAACCCTTGTCCCCTTGGCCATGGGGCGAGGTGGGGATAGAGGCGTGAGGTGGGGATAGAGGTGTGAGGTGGGGATAGAGGCGTGATGGAAATAGGTCCCAGCTATGCCCACCAGCTGTGTGGTCTTGAGTCTCGGGATCTTTCTGGATGAGGTTGAGGACTGTCAGCAGCAGCCGGCCGTCTGACCTCTGTGGGGGCCACAGGCCGGCATGATGGTGCTCCCCTCGCTGTGTCCCTGAGACCATCATCACCGCCCTGAGGGCCTTCGGTGGGCTCCCTGCAGCCCAGACCACACTGGGAGCAAAGCCCAGCACAGCTCCCCGTCCACTAAACTGACAGCCTCTCTGCAGAGGGACTGAGACTCAGTGACCACAGGGCCCCTGGGGAGCCAGCATGCCACGGCCTCCTGGACCAGCCTGGGAGCCCCTCTAGTCCAGCTGTGCCAAGGACAGGCCCCTCTGCCCCTCCCGGTCACTGGCCACCAGGACCCAGCTTTAGGAGAGAGCCATGGTGCAGGAGGTTAGCGGCTGGATGTCTCACATCCTCCAACTCTGCCGGAGTCCGCTGTGGGCTCCGAGGGCTGCAGTGGCATTCAGAGGCCATCACTGTTCCATCACATCCCTGGCGGGCGTGGGCAGCCATGGCGACAGTATTTGTCACACCCGGAGTCGGGGGTGTCTAGGGAAAGAGAGAGAAAAGCATGAGAGACAGCGGTTTCTCTGGAACCCTTTAGTCTGAAAGTCTAAATCAGTGGTCGGCAAACTGCGGCCCCTTGAGTGTGGCTCTTCCACAAAATACCACGTACAGTGCGATTGAAACTTCATGGCCACACTCAAGGGGCCAAAGAGCCGCATGTGGCTCGCGAGCCGCAATTTGCCGACCACTGGTCTAAATGAACCCTAGGAAAATTCATCGGAGAGTCAGGAGGTGGGCGGGCTCCCCGCCTCCCCTCCCCCTAGTGACAGATACCCCCCAGGGTCAGGCAGACGCTGCTGCTGCCAGTTAGGGAACCACAGGTCCTCAAAGCTGAAGGTGCATCGTTGGGCAGCTGAGCTCTGCTGAAGCGGCTACTTACCCCCTGCGGTGTATGGCGCATTCATTATCTTTTTTTCTCTTTTTGGTCAGAACTGGCATTAAACTTTGTCCTTTTGATTCAACTTTTAAATTCTGAACTAATGCTCAGCCCATAGTGATCATTTAATTCACCGTCTGCTTACAAGTGAATTAATTACACATTATAACCTGAACTCCCGAATATCCATTGTGTGAGGTCTTTGTTCCCCGCTTTCTTTGTGGAGCTAGAGCGCCAAGCCTGGCGAGGCGAGCGCTCCACTCCTCAGAGATGTATTATCTCGTTCATCGTTAGCGGCCCCTGCATTATTCTGTGTCATTAACTTGGCATTATTTTGTTCAGCTCCCAATATATTCCAGATCTTAGTTTCGAAGTGAGATTTCTATGATGCATAATTAAAAACCCACCACATGCACTCCCGAGTTTCCCCGCCAAGCCTGGTGGTATTGAGAATGATGGGGGTGGCTGTGGCCCGGGCGATAGCGGGTCTGTGTCTGCTCTGCAGTGTGCGACATTCCTCTGGACCACATATGCAGCCACAACGTCAGCAGAGATCAGTGCAAGGGACTCGGGCGCTGCTTTCACAGAGGTGTCTGCCATGAAAAGTCAGTTTCCAGTAAGTATCTGGGCTGGGCCCACCCAGGCGGACAAAGCCATGGAGGCCCAGGGTGGGCCTGCCTTCCCTCCCGGGTCTCCGTCCCTGGACAGGCCTCTCACATCGTCCTGGTCACATCTCTGCAGTAGTGGGAGCAGAGGGCTGTGAGGGTCTGGGACTGGGACAGGCCACCCGGCAAAGTCCCCTCCCAGATGGGTAGACTTGCTGTGGAAGAAGACTGACCGAGAGCCTCCTTCCTGGGAGACCTGGGTCATTCTGGGGGTGTAACCGCTGGAGGTGGGGACTCAGTACTACAAAAGCACCTGGTTGGGGGCGGTGCTGGCTGCTGGCCCTGGGAAAGGCAAGACCTGACCAGGCGGGAGCTGGAGAGTGTAACTGGGACCCTGAGGATGACTGAGGACCCCTATGCTGGGGAGAGTGGGAGGGGCTGGGGGAGGTCCCTGCAGTCTCATCCTGATCAGAATAAAACCACAGCCTGGCACTAAGATCTGCTCCCAGTCACTGCAGTCTGGGCTGTGCCTGGGGAGGTAGGGCCCGCAGGGACTCCCGGGGTGGGGGCTGTGGGATCTGGGGAGAGCATCATCCTCAGAACAGGGCTGCTTCCTGCCAGCCCGCCAGGGGAGGCTCTGGGTGAGCCCCTGCTCAGAGGGCGGGGTGGGGGGGGTGGGAGGGAGGGGGGCGCAGAGGAGGATATAATCTAGATGCCTGGCCCAGAAGGGATGCTGCTTTAAATATCCTTTCTGTATATTTTCTCACACTTTAGAGAAATTCCAGAGGTCTTTGTGCCTCTTGATGGTTGATGGGTTTTCTTGCCCTTGTGTCCCTTTCAGAAATGAGGGTGAATGGGCTCCAGGACTGTTTGGGAGGAGATTAAACAGTCCGTGGGCCAGGGCAGCCTACACAAGCCCTCACCACAGAGGAGGAAAGTGCCCACAGATACGAAAAGCTGGCCGCTGGCCGGGACACTCAACAGCTCTGATGCCCCTCCCTGTCCTAGGCTGCTCTCCGGTCCTCACCCCCCGAAGTGGACACAGTTGCCCTTGTGCTCTGTGGCTTGGGAGGATCTCTTCTCTTCTCTTCTTTCTCCTCTGAGTCCAGTTCAACTGAGCCCCTCAGAGGCAAGACAGTGCGTCTGCCTTCTCATCCTGGGACACAGTCAGACTTAGGAAGTCAGAAACATTGATGACCCATGAGTGTTACCAACTATTGGCCCACAGGGCTGCCTGGTCCCATGACCCACAACTCTAAGCCAGCTCTTTTAAGAAGTAAGTGATATGCTGGATAAAATGACTCAAGAAGCTAATGTATTGGCTGGATCTTGGCTCACCCAAAGGGAGAGCATCTGTTTAGTTTTCTGGTGAAGATTCAGCACTTAGGGCAAAAGAAAAGGACGTTTGGCTTCTCAAAAGGTGGCAGATGAGAGGTCACAATGAATGCCATTTACAGCTGGGAGGGTTTTCTGACAACAACTTTTCCTTTAGATCTTGAATAGGATGACTTGGGAACACATCTCCTTATTAATCCCGCCTTCCACCTTTGGGAGAACCCAGCATCCCTAATGTTACTATAAATGGAATTGTCTTCTTAATTCTACTTTCAAATTGTACATAGAATCCTCAATATGTACCCAAGAGAACTGAAAGATTGCTAGTATATAGAACTGCAATTTTGTGTATTTGTCTTGTATCCTGTAACCTTCTTCAACTCATTTATTAATGGCTTGCTTAGGATTTTCTACGTGTAAAATCATACCATCTGCCTATGAGATAGTTTTACTTCTTTCTTTCTAATATAGATGGTTTTATTTAATTTTCTTGTCTAGTTGCCCTGGCTAGAACCTCCAGTACAATGGTGAATAGAGGCAGTGAGAATGGACATCTTCATCTTATTTCTGATTTTAGGGCAAATTTCCAGTGTTTCACCTTTAAGTGTGATGGAAGCTATGGGTTGAGGAAGTTCCTTTCTGTTCCTAGTTTCTTAAGTGTTTTGTTATCAAAGAATATTGGATTTTATCAAATTATTACTCATGTGGATGTGTTATTGTCCAGTATCTTTCCCTTTTATCCTGAAGGACTCCCTTATATATTTCTTGTAAGGCATTTATGCTGATGTCACCCTGAAAGTTACTTCTGAGCTTGAATGAATCTCTAGTTGTACATAATCAGGCAGTGAATTTGCAACAAGACATAGTGCTTTTCCTTAAAGGAGTTCATTATCCTTCACCTATCTCATCCTAAAACCCACAGTTTAGCCAGAATCTTATTTGAGAAATCTTTTTGAGTCCTGGGTCTTCCAATGTTGAACGGCATATTATATTATATTATACTAGAGGCCCGGTGCAAAAAAATTTGTGCACTCGGGGGGAGGGGGGGGTCCCTCAGCCCAGCCTGTGCCCTCTCGCAGTCTGGGACCCCTCAGGGGATGACCACCTGCTGGCTTAGGCCTGCTCCCCAGGGGATTGGGCCTAAGATGGCAATCAGACATCCCTCTGGCAGCCTGGCAGCCCTCGGGTGATGTCCACTTGCCAGTGGGGAGCAGACCTAAGCTGCAGTCAGACATCCTTAGCGCTGCTGAGGAGGCAGGAGAGGCTCCCACCACCACCACTGTACTGGCAGCCATCAGCCTGGTTTGTGGCTGAGCAGAGCTCCTCCCATGTGAGAGCGCCCTGACCACCAGAGGGCAGCTCCTGCATTGAACGTCTGCCCCTTGGTGGTCAGTGTGTGTCATAGTGACCAGTCATTCCCAGTCGTTCTGCTGTTAGGGTCAGTTTGCATATTACCCTTTTACTATATAGGATAGAGGCCTGGTGCATGGGTGGGGGCCGGCTGGTTTGCCCTGAAGGGTGTCCTGGATCAGGGTGGGGGTCCCGCTTGGGTGCCTGGCCAGCCTGGATGACGGGCTGATGGCTGTTTGCAGCTGGTCACACCCCCTTCAGGGTGGGGGTCCCCACTGGGGTGCCTGGCCAGTCTGGGTGAGGGGCTGAGGGCCGTTTTCAGACTGGCGGGCGACTGAAGCTCCCAACCTCTCCTTTTTTTCTTTTCTTTTTTTTTTTATTCTGGGATTTATTTACCTTCTATGGCTGTCACTGGAGCTGAGAGCCGGCTCCAGCTCTGAGGCCCGGCTGGCTGAAAGCAGGTATCTGGGGTTTGTTTAGCTTCTATAATTGCAACATTGTTTCTTAGAGTGCAGCTCAGAGGCCGGCAGCAGCAGGCGGGGAACGTTGGCTTCCTCCATCACTGGAGCAAGCAAGCCTCCTGTTCGAATCAGCTGCCTGGCTGCCGGCCGCCGTCTTGGTTGGCAGTTAATTTGCATATCGCCCTGATTAGCCAATGGGAAGGGTAGCAAAGTTATGGTTAATTACCATGTTTGTCTATTATTAGATTGGATTATATTATATTATATATATTATATTATATTTATTATATTATATTATATTATATTATATTATATTATATTCCAACAGCTCATTCCCTAGAGTATGTGACAGGTACTCCTGAGCTGAGTTCATGGCACTGGCTGGTGATTTGGCCATAATTTGCTGCTTTGGGCACTTATCATCTTTCTATTTCTGTTTTGTGTATTGGTGGTTTCACTCACACACACACACACCTATTTGGAGAGCAGCAGATGATTCCATTCAGCTCACTTCGTTTCCATCACAGGGTTTTCCTTCTTAGCGGACTCCAGTATCCTAGGCATTTATGCAACTTAGTTTTTCTGGGACTTTTACCATTTGGGGGTCCTAAAAGCAGGACACATTCACATCCAAAGGGCATTTGGGTTTGTTCTTTCAATCTTCTACATATAAAGATGTAGAAGATATTCAATTCCTAGGTCAAGTCACAGAACTGGACACCGTCTTTAGCCATTAATGTTGCCAATTTTCTCATCTCCCAGAGAAACAGAGACAACAGCAGGAAGTGGTGAAACAGAGCATCCAGGGGAGACTGCAGCCAGCAAGGGAGCGCAATCCAAGCTGCTGCTGCTTTCCCCACCGGTCCCTCCCCGAGCATCATCTCATCAGGATTTCCCGTGGGAGTTGGCCATTTTGTAAATGTTAGCATGTATCACAAACATTGTTTAAATTAGTGTAATCACCTTATTTATGCCTGTTACTCATTTGAAAAATGAATAACACCTTACAGCACCTTCATTATTGGTGTCTTTACGGACTACTCTCCCCCCAACCCCCATGAGCTCTCAAGAATGTTTTCTCCTTGAAGAGAGCCCACTGCTCTGCAAGTGGATGTGTCATTGTTGCATGGAGGCGAGTGCTAATCCTCTTTTCATTCTTTCAGTTTCCACAAGTGAGTCGTGTGGGCTGGGCTCTTTCTCGCCTCTGACTTCTTTCACATTGGCGAGGGTGGGCCATCTGTGGGAAGGGTCTGGGCAGTGAGCCCTGCATTGGGTTCTCACTGAGCCCTCAAATTACTTCTCATTTCTTTGACATCTTACTCACTGAAGACGGCGACTGAACCTTTGTGCTGTGTAAGTTGTAGTATTCGGTGACAGGGTATTATGAGCTCTTTGTGCGCATAATTCCATGTTATGAAAACCTTTCACCAACTTCTTAAATTGGCTGGTTTGAAGTGCTCATTGTGTTACGGCATAATCTGTATGATTAAGAATGTGAACTTGGGGAATTAGCATTAGATCTTTGAGAAACAATCAGGGACTCAGAGAGAGTGACTTGCCTTCACCCTTCAGCCTTGACTTAGGCACATTATGTAACATGTCATGTCTCCCGAGTGTATGACTTCCGTTTCTCCAGGAGACGTGCCGAGCTGATTGCAAAACTTCTGTTTAGTTATATTTGGAGGAGAATTTCTCCAGATACTTCTTAAAGAAAATAATGCTGTCTTTCAATTGCTGCTATTTCTGAAGGATGCTGCTATTTCTGAAGGATCATCATATACGGTTTATTAAAAACCACACATATTGTTTATAACAAGTAGTGTGCTGGCCAGACACTGCCTCCAGGAGCTTGACCTCAAGGACCAAAAATACCTGCACATATAAAGATACAGAAGATGCGCTGATGATCAAATCCTGAAACATTGTCTACATATGTGTGTCTCTTTAACCGGACTTCACTACCATTAATTCTGAATTTATTTCATGAACCAAGACAAAAGATCCCACTAAGGGATACACATTCCCTGGAATTCAAAACTTTGAGGTTTACCTTCTTGTCCCTTAAAAACTTCTCATTTCACGCTTTCAAATACAATGAACTTGATTTGTTCATTTCAATTCGCTTCATTCAACATCATTGAACGTGAACCTTCTCTGTGCCTTTTGCTACACCCCTAGGAGAAAGCGCGGTGGGAGTGGAGGGGGCAGAGAATTTAAACCAACTAATGCTCCTATGCAGGGGAACACGGAATAGAGGCCACCCCCTAAGAGTCACTTTGAAGGCCCTGATTCTTCCGTTTTGAGAAGATGGAAGCAATTGAGGACCGTGTAAACCCTTGTTAGTACAGAAAAACTCCGTCAATGTAACTTGAAATCGGACCAATGGAATTTAACATCCAAAAAGCATCTTTGGAATCACTTTCAGGGAGTTGGGGGCAGGATGAGGTGCCAGATGGCAGGAGGCCCCCTGCCGCTGTTTCCCGGTGGACAGACAAGGGACCACCGCTGCAGGCTCCCCTCAGGGGGCAGTGCTCTGTCGTCGGGGAGCCAGGCCACCACCCTGAGTCCCTTTCATGTGGAGCCCTCATCTGTCTGGGGGTGGCCTTGGTCCCAGGGTGGTGTTTCGGGAGGGGAGTGGCAGTGTTAGTGGAGCGGCCAGTGCTCAGGGGGGAGCTGGGCGGAGAAGGGCTGCAGGGTGGAGGGCCCAGGCCCACCTCATGGAGGAGGACTGCCCTGTTGTAATGAACCCAAATGATGGTAAATGGAAATTGTTTTTCAGTTTATGTGCACGTGTTTTGTGCCTTGATCCTGCTCATTGCTGGGGCCTTTATTATCACCATGATTTACAGGTCAGCCATTCTGTTCTTTCAAACTCACACGTAGAACTTTGGTGGGAGAGGACTGCCCCCTGAGGGGACTCCCCCCCTCGGCTCAGTGCTATTGGGGCCACGTGGACCACTGGTGAGACCTGAGGGACCACCTTTTCCCCCAGATCTTGATGATAATACCAGCCAGCCTTTCATAAGCACCTATCATTTCACTCCACAGCCCTCCTATGAGGAGCGGAGCAAGGGGTGGAGGTGGGGGCCCTGTCTGCAGAGCCCTGGCCCCAGGCCGACCACGCCCCTTCATCCTGTGCTAAAGACCTGTCCGATCCATGCTCTCAGACACAATCTCCCCCTCTAGTTTCCATGGTGACGACATGCACACCCAGCAAGGCTACCTAGGCTGCTTGCTGCCCCCTGGCCGGACTGGAATTCAGCTTTCCCCCTTGGGGGGCCTTGCACCAGCCCCTGAGATTAGTTGAGGCACTTTGTCCAGCAACAAGGAAAACGATCTTCCTCTCTGAGTGGTGCTGGGTGGCGTCTTGAGTGAGCGACCCGGCTGTAACCTGCACGCAGTGCCCACCTTCCCAAATCCTGCTGTTGTCCTGGGGAGTCTGGCTGCCGCTTGCAGGTGTCTGTTCAGGGCAGATAGAAGGAACTAAAATGGGAAGTCCCAAGGCAAAGCATTTACCCTGACAGATGGTCTACATGCATGATCATGAACCCTATACTTTTAGGGTGGTGCCCTGGCGGCCCATAATTTTCCATCTTTAATTTCTCTGATTCTGATAAAAACTCTCTTCCCTTCAGAGTTGTCCAAGAAAGGAAAGAAAAGGAAGCCACTATGGAATTGCCTTTGTCATTCAAGTCTGGAGATGAAGTCGCGGCAGCCGCTGCTGCCCGTAAGCTGGCAGTGTTGAAGGCTCGGACTGCCAGAGCACTGCCATGTGCCGGATGTGCCAGGAACACCGATAAGAGTAAGAGTCGGGATTGCCCATCCTAGGGCTCAGGGCACAGCTTTCCTCCCTCAACACATCTTACCTGTGAAAGATACCCAGCCAGCAGCTACATTAGCCTTTTAGCAGAAGTTGCACTTTTTTCTTTTTCAGTTTGGACTAAATCTATTTTTTCCAATTAGAAGGGTCTAGCATGGGTTTCCTGCTCTAAAGGCACATTTCCCTCCATAACTATTGTCTTCTATCTTTTCTTTCTCCTCTCTTTGCCTCTCTGTCATTCCACCCTCTCTAGACAGTCCAGCTGCGTGGTGGGTAGTGGGTAAGGGGCGGCGGTGATGTTGGGGTGTATCTGCATCCAGTGGCTTCCTGGCAGGTGCCTGACAACACCATTCTTGTTGTGGCTCCCTGACAGCTTGGTGGCCCTGGTTGAAGAGATGTAAACACAATAGCTAAGTCTTCCAACACCTCTGACTTTCAGGAAGCAAAGCCGCATGTATGTGATTAACTCTTAGGAGGACTTGGCAGTTGCTTGATGCTTTTCAGTCGGCAACTTGCTAGGTAGAGAAAGAAACATCCCAAATGGTCAGCTCAATCTTAGGTGATATTGTTTGGGAACATGGTCTAGGTCTCATATTATTCACTAAAGACCTGGTGCATGAAATTCGTGCACTGCAGGGGGGATGTGGGGAGGTCCCTCAGCTTAGCCTGTGCCCTCTCACAGTCCGGGAGGCCTTGGGAGATGTCTGACTGACGGCTTAGGCCCGCTCCCCATGGGCCTTAGTGTTGCCGCGGAGGCAGGAGAGGTTTCTGTCACTGGCGCTGCTCTTGCCAGCTGTGAGCTTGGCTTCTGCCTGAACAGTGCTCCCCCTGTGGGAGTGCACTGACCACCAGGGGGCAGCTCCTGTGCTGAGCGGGATTGGGCCAAAACCGGCTCTCTGACATCCCCCTAGGGGTCCCAGATTGTGAGAGGGTGCAGGCCAGGCTGAGGGACCCCACCAGTGCATGGTTGGGGCCAGGGAGGGATTCCAGAGGTTGACCAGATGGGGAGGAACTGCAGGAGGACTCCAGGGCGTGTCTGGTCCGTCTCTCTCAGTCCCGATCAGCTGGACCCCAGCAGCAAGCTAACCTACCAGTCAGAACATCTGCCCCCTAGTGGTCAGTGCATGACATGGCGACTCATCGACTGGTTGACTGTCTGTCCCCTGGTGGTCAGTGCATGTCATAGTGAGCGGTTGAGCAGCCTTAGCTTTGATTGTTTGAACGGATGAACGGATGACTGGACACTTAGCACATTAGGCTTTTATTATGCACTGAGTGGCCAGATTATTATGACCACCCCATCAGTACTTCGTTGGGCCACCTTTTGCCTTCAATACTGCGGCGATTCTTCTTGGCATTGACTCCATGAGATGTTGAAAGGTGATGCGAGGAATCTGACACCATGCCTGATGAATAGCACTGTCCAGTTCTGTGAGATTTGATGGCTGTGGAACCAGCTGCCTGATGGCTCTTTTAACTTTGTCCCACAAATGCTCAATTGGATTGAGATCTGGTGATTGTGGGGGCCACCTAAGCAAGGTAAAGTCTCCCTCATGTTCTTGAAACCACTCCTGCACAATACGAACACTGTGGCATGCCGCATTGTCTTGTTGGAATAAGCCATCTCCATTGGGATATCCCATCAACATGATAGGATGAACTTGATCAGCAACGATGCTTAAGTATGTTGTGCTATTCCAGTGGTTCTCAACCTTCCTAATGCCACAACCCTTTAATACAGTTCCTCATGTTGTGGTGACCCCCAATTTCATTGTTACAAATTGAACATAATTAAAGCATAGTGATTAATCACAAAAACAATATGTAATTATATATGTGTTTTCTGATGGTCTTAGGCGACCCCTGTTAAAGGGTCGTTCGACCCCCAAAGGGGTCGTGACCCACAGGTTGAGAACTGCTGTATTCAGACATTGTTCCACATGAATTAAAGGGCCCAAATCATGCCAGGAAAACATGCCCCAATCCATAACACTGCCCCCACCAGCTTGAAGGGTTGTACTCATGCTTGTGGGGTGCATGCTTTCATTCTGTTTCCGCCAAATTCTCACTCTGCCATCTGCATGATGCAACTGGAAACGTGATTCATCGGACCAAATGCCTTTTTTCCAATGCTCGACTGTCCAATCCTTGTGTTCCTGTGCGAATTGGAGTCGTTTTTTCTTGGTAACTGCAGACAGCATAGGTGTTCGAACAGGCCTTCAGCTCTTTTGCTGATACTTGCTCCATGGCTCCGAGCGCCCGCAATCATCCCATGTTCAAAGGCTGTTAAATTGCCTTGTTTACCCATATCTTCAGAAAAAAATCACTTCTGTCCTGGTAAACAACCTGCTCCCCTATTTACAATGGTCTGGCTCTCTAGCAACTTCAGCGCGAAATTATAGCTAATTTGCCTACAAACGTCAGGTGGTCATAATAATCTGGCCACTCAGTGTATAGGAAGAGTCACAAAGACTTGGTTTTACTGGGACAAATGGGAAAAGGGAGAGGCTGGAAGAAGCAGCCTACCCAAACGTCTCCGAGGATCTCGATGCTCGCTCCTAACCGAGGCTGTGTCTGTGCACAGAGCGCGATGTCACCTCCTCAGGGTGGTTTCTGCAGAGGGAGGCCGTGAAAGGTGGAGACCGTTCTCCCCCAGGAAGCTCTTTCTCTCCCAGGAGTGAGTGGAAAGACGGGGCAGCACACACCCACCTACCAAACACAATTGAGTAAATCATGGCCCATTGTATGCCATATGGATGTGTTCACAGACCTTGACGAAATTTCCTTGGCATTGCTGACTATTCTATTAAAAAAACACCACTTAGCCTTGGCCAGTGTTGCGCAGTGGGTTGAGCATAGTCCCATGCACCAAGAGGTTGCAGGTTCCATCCCCAGGCAGGGCACATACCCAGGTTGCTGCCTCAATCCCCAGTAGGGGGGCATGCAGGAGGTAGTTGATCAATGTCTCTCTCTCTCTCTCTCTCTCTCTCTCTCTCAAATCAATTAAAAAAATATCATTCTTAAAAACCACAAACACTTATTGTTGTTTTAAATTCAGCAACAGTGATGGTAATGAATACTGAAGAAACTAAGGATTGAAATGCATGATGAAGAAAACGTGAAGATTGGCAGAAATATCCAAATGAAACAGTACCATTGTGAACCACTCTTAAACATGGCATGGAATGACTACCCAATTAGGAAAACAATAAAGGTATTTTAAATGCTTTGGTTCTAAGTTGTCTTAGTCAATGCTGTATTTTTGTCTCAAGAGAAAGCCATTGGAGGGTGAGAACATTACCAGAAGCTTTGAACATACATATATATATATATATAATTGATTTCAGAGAGGAAGGGAGAGGGAGAGAGATAGAAACATCAATGATGAGAGAGAATCATTGATTGGCTGCTTCCTGCATGCCCCCTACTGGGGATTGAGCCCACAACCCAGGCATGTGCCCTGACTGGGAATCAAACCCTGACTTCCTGGTTCATAGGTTGACGCTCAACTACTGAGCCATGCTGATTGGGCAGGGTTTGATTTTTTTTAATGACACTGTTTCCTAGTGATGCCAAAATCAAGGCAGCTTATAGCATTGTCACCAAGACCCCCTTTTCAGAAGAAAGCTATGCTAATGAGAGGAGCAGCATCATGCTCTGTGAGGCCCAGAACCATCTGGTGCAGCTTCCTCAAAGTCTCCCGTCCAGGTAAGGATGCATGTATGTTTCAGAGTACCTGACAGTGCTGACTGTAGGTGATGAAAGCCAGCCCAGTTGAGTCTGGTTTTTACTTTGGAAACTTGAATATCTATATGTATAAAAGCCTAAGTGACTGTTTGACCGGTAGCTATAATGTGCACTGACCACCAGGGGGCAGATGCTCAATGCACAGGCATGGGAACATAGAACAGACTGATGAATCTCAGAGGAAAAGGAGGAGGGGGGCAGGGCGAGAAGAGATTAACCAAAGATCTTATATGCATACTAGGGTCCCTCGGCCTGGCCTGCACCATCTCACAATCTGGGATCCCTTGGGGAATGTCGGACTGCTGGTTTTGGCCCAATCCCCGCAGGCCAGGCCCAGGGACCCCACCAGTGCATGAATCTGTGCACTGGGCCTCTAGTTATATAACACACACACACACACACACACACACACACACACATGTATATGTATATGTATATGTATATGTATATGTATATGTATGTAGGAGTCCCTAGACACCCTCATTTATTTTTCAGCTGGTAAATTCTATGCATGTGGGCAATGCAGGTTTGGTCAAGGTCCCACAAGATCTTACTAGTAGCCCAGGCTTCTTGGAGAATGGAGGATGAGAGAGGGTGAGGGATAGAGGCTGGCCCTTTCCTTCTCACACACATCCTGCTGACCTTAGTCATTGGCCCTTACGTTGGTTTAGATCGGATGTCAGCACACCTTTTGTAAAGGACCAGGCAACAACTATTTTAGGCTCTGTGGGTCAGAAGTTCTGACAGCTCTTCAACTCTGCTCGTGTAGCATTAAGGTGGCCACAGACAATGGAAATGCATGGATGTGGCGAGGTTTCAATAAAACTTTATGTAAAATCAGGTGATGGCTGGACTTGGCCTGCAAGCTGTGGTTTGTCAACCCCTATTTTTTTGCCCATCTTTTTCTAGAAATTTCACAACTAGTCATTTCTGTGATCTCTGTAGGTCGAAAGCCTCTGATGGTCAATTTGTTCTTATAGCTTATTGTGATTGTACCCACCTGACTCTGTAAACAGCCAGGACCTGGAGTTCCCATGCTGGGATCCCATTCCCAGGAGTTATTAATTCACCTACGTTCTGCACAGGGCAGCCCTCAGAGAGCTTTTCAAGGATGCATTTTTCATGCCTACGTGAATGGGGTATGCCATTGTCTCTCTTGCAGAGGTATGTTGGATGGGGGGCTTATAAAAGATCCATCAGCATCCTCTACACCAGTGGTTCTCAGCCTCAACGAACATTTGGCAATGTTTAGAGACATTTTGGATTGTCAAAACGGGGGAAGGCACTGCTGGCATTTCTCCTCTAGGCCAGCAATAACAAGCCCCAAGATCTCCCATTTCATGGTGTCATGGAAGTTGAGAAAGGAAGCTGGATTTCTAACCCCATCTGGCAATGACAAGGTGATGCCCCCCAACTCCCACAGAGTCAGAGGAAGATGCTAAAACACAAGACTTAAATAAAATCCAGAGTCTAATGACATAATAGCCAAGTCATCCAAGATTCGATTGAAAGTCACTCATTGTGCCAAGAACCAGGAGAATCTCCCCTTGAGTGAGAAAGGACAACTGATGGACACCAAACATGATACAGATGCTGGGATTATCTGTAAAGGATTAAAAGCATCCATCATGCAAAATCCTTTAATGAGGAATTATGAATGCATTACATGAAAAATAGAAAATTTCTGCAAAGAAATAGAAGATATAAAGAAGAATCTGGTGGAGATTTTAGAACTGAAAAATATAATAACCCAAATAAAAAATTCAATGGGTGGGCTTAACATCTGAATGGAAAGGACAGAGAAAAGAATCTGTGAACTTGAGGATAGAAATGATCCAATATGAACAGGAGTGAAAAAATAGAATTAAAAAAAATCTCAGCGATCTTTAAAATATAACAAAACATCTAACATCCATGTCATTGATGTCCTAGAAGGAGAAGAGAAAGAGAGTGAGACTGAAAAAGTATATTTGATAGTTGAAGTAAAAATTATAACTGTTATAATGTGGTTTTTGATGTATGTAATCTAAGACCAGCATATTATAAATGTGTGAGGGTAAAGGGACAAAAAGGAAAGTACAGTTTCTATTCCTCACTCAAACTGGTATAACTGCTCTGAAAATAGTTTGGCAGTTTCTTAAAAATTGAAACATACATGTACCATACAATTAGCAAGTGTGCTCCCAGGCATTTATTGCAGAGAAATAAAGACTTAACATAATATTTATATAAAAATCTGTACATAAATGTGTATGACAACTTTATTTGTAATAGCCCCAAATTAGAACCATAGCTGTACAATAAGTGAATGGTTAAAAAAATTGTGGTATATCCACACCAGGGAATTCTCTGCAGGCGATAAAAAGGAAAAATTAATGATATATGCAATAATTTGGATGGATTTCAAAGGTATTATGTTGAGAAACCAATCTCAAAAAGTCACACACTTTATGATTTCATTGTTGAAATGACAAAGTTGTAGAGATGGTTGCCATGGTTAGGAGTGTTGTGAGGTGTTGGTGGAAAGGCATGGGTGTGCTGTAAAGGGGCTGCATGAAGGAGTGTGCTGGCACAGCCTGTGTCTTGATTTCCGTGGAGGTCCCACGAATCTACACATGTGATAACATGGCATAGTGCTCTATACACACACAGGACCAGAGTTATGCTCCTGATTTTGATTTTTGTACCACTGTCATGTAAGATGTAAGCATTGGGAGAATCTGAGTGAAGCGTAGACAGAACTCCTCTGTACTACTTATGAAACTTCCTGTGAACAATGATTATTTCAAAATAAAAAGTTAAACAATGTTAAAAGAAGTCATTCTGACAGAAAAAAAAAGGCCAAAGAAATGGTCTTGATGCTCTAAAAAGTCAACCAGTGTGAAAAGCCATGGCCAGCATGGCTTTCAGGTTCAAAGGCTTGGAGAAAGGGCTGACGCACAAATTAATACACAAGAAATATAAATTTGGAAATTATGGGGGAAGCCAGGGAAAGCTTAGCTATAGTAGCCAACTTCCACTGAATCTCTGTTCCCATCTGCTTTTATTTACTAGAATACACAATTGCCTTTTAGGAATGCAAACAGACATATCAAAGGTGATTGTTTAGTAAACAGTAAGATTATCAGGTTGGGGGAGTTTGCTTTAGGCCATTGAGTCAGCAGTAGGTAATAAAACGCAAATATTCACCCCGTGAATATCAAAGAGCCCAATTCAGGCTTCTGACTGGACTTCTTGCATTTATATTAATTACTGTTGATCTTGGTTCTCAGCAAACCAGCATGAACCTGGTCTGTAGAGATTGCAAGCATAGTTGTTATGCTCATCTTATTAGCAAAAGGAAAGTTCTAATTACTGTGTAGTTTGAGAGATGCAAATCAGAGGAGAATTAAACTAGTATGATAAAATACAAGCCTTTCCTATCATTCCAATAAGTTACAGAAACATATATCAGAGTTAGCATATGTCTTTCATGTTCCCTGGAACAGAGTTCTGATTTCTACCTACTCACACAGTCATTTATCTATTTATTTTTAAAGATTAATTTTATTATTTAAAATTTTTATTTATTTATTAATTTGAGAGAGAGAGAGAGAGAGAGAGAGAGAGAGAGAGAGAAACATTGATTTGTTGTTCCACTTATTTATGCATTCATTGGTTGTTTCTTGTATGTGCCACAACCTTGGTGTATTGGGATGATGCACTCACTAACTTAGCTACTTGGCCAGGGCAATCCTTTATTTTTTTAAAAGTCAACAATGAATCTTTAACAAGACACTGAGTTCCCTGCAAGAGTTCACAGTTCCTTAATTATCCTGCATCTCTCCTTCTATGTTTCTTTTCAGTATGATGTAATTTTGCAAAAAAGAAGAAAAAATAGTAGAAGTATTTCCACATTTAGACTGTTATACTAATTATACTTGAGCATCTTTTCATATTGACAAGGTTGATTAAAAAGAGAAAAATTTAAAAGATTCGTTTATAAAAGATTTCAGACCTTCTGTATATAAGTTCTTTTGTCCAAGGGTCTTTCTTTTCTATGTGCCCATCAACCATGACTGTACATATCATTTTTTCTCAAGGACAGAAAAATTGCCTATCCTCTCCTCCCTCCCTCCATAATTGTCTTTATTTCCTTCTCTGTCACCTCTCTAATACTCTCTAATAATATACCTCTGTGTACTTACCTTGACTCTGTTTATTGTTTTGTTTTTTACTCAATTTCTGTTTAAAATATGAAACTTGGCCTGGTGTGTTGAACATTGCTTATTTCTTTCTTAGACTGTGAACTGTGAGCTCATAACGAGTCACTCTATGGATTTGATCCTCCCTCTTCAATACATCTAGAGTCA